TTTGACGCGGCACAGCCTGTTTTAAGGTCTGTTGTTCTTGACACTTGAGGGCGGCACCGCTTGTTTTAGGAGCTGCTGTTTTGACACTTTCAGGCGGCACAGCCTGTTTTAGGAGCTGTTTGTTCTTGACCTGCTTTTTTTAACACTTTAGGGCGGCACAGCCTGTTTTAGGAGCTGCTTTTCTGACGCTTTAGGGCGGCCCAGCCTGTTTTAGGAGCTGCCTTTTTGACACTTTAGGGCGGCGCAGCCTGTTTTAGGAGCTGCCTTTTTGAAACTTTTGGGCGGGGCAGCCTCTTCAAACAGCTGCTTTTTTGACATTTTAGGGCGGCACAGCATATTTTACGAGCTGCCTTTTTGACACTTTAGGGCGGCGCGGCCTGTTTTAGGAGCTGCCTTTTTGAGACTTTAGGGCGACGCAGCTGGTTTTAGGAGTTGCCTTTTTGACGCTTTAGGGCGGCGCAGCCTGTTTTAGAAGCTTTTTTTTTGACACGTTACGGCGGCGCAGCCTTTTTTAGGAGCCGCTTTCTTGACGCTTTAAGGCGGCATAGCCTGTATTAGGAGGTGCTTAGGAGCTGCGATTTTGACACTTTAGGGCGGCGCAGCCTGTTTTAGGAGCTGCTTTTTTGACACTTTAGGGCGTTACAGCTTGTTTTAGGAGCTGCGTTTTTGACACTCTACGGCGGCGCAGCTTGTTTTAGGAGCTGCCTTTTTGATACTTGACGGCTGTGCAACCTGTTTTAGGAGCTGCTTTTTTGACACGTTAGGGCGGCGCAGCTTGTTTTAGGAGCTGCTTTTTTGACACTTTAGGGCGGCACAGCCTGTTTTAGGAGCTGCTTGCTTGACATCTGAGGGCGGCGCAGGTTGTTTTAGGAGCTGCTTTTTTGACGCTTTAGGGCAGCGCAGCCTGTTTTAGGAGCTGCTTGTTTGACACTTTAGGGCGGCGCGGTCCGTTTTAGGAGTTGCTTTAGACCCCAAAAACGAGCCGCAGGAGGAGAAAAAGTATGTTTTAAAAGGGGTCCCGGGACACAAAAAAGCTTTAAAAGAGCCAAAAATTTTAACAAGCAACAAAACAAGGGCCCCCCGAGGAAAACATAGGGGCCCCCCACTTTGGGGCTTAGGGCGTAGCCGGAAAAAACAAGCATATATAAGAAAAGGGCCCCCGAGAGACAAAAAGGCTTTAAAAGAGCGAAAACAAAAGAACAAGAAACAAAACAAGGGGCCGCCGATGAAAAAATGTAAAAAACCTAGTGTTTTTAGCAGAAAATTGCGCCAAAACATAGGGGCCCCCGACTTTGGGGCTTAGGGCGTAGCCGGAAAAAAAGGCATATATAAGAAAAGGCTCCCCGAGAGACAAAAAGGCTTTAAAAGAGCAAAAAAAAAGAACAAGAAACAAAACAAGGGGCCGCCGAGGAAAAAATGTAAAAGAATCAGTGTTTTTAGCAGAAAATTGCGCCAAAACATAGGGGCCCCCGACTTTGGGGCTTAGGGCGTGGTCGGAAAAAAACCGTATATATAAGAAAAGGGGCCCCCGAGAGACAAAAAGGCCTTAAAAGTATAAGAAAAGGGGCCCCCGAGAGACAAAAAAGACTTAAAAGAGCAAAAACAAAAGAACAAGAAACAAAACAAGGGGACCCCCGAGGAAAAAATGTAAAAACACAGTGTTTTTGGCAGAAAATTGTGCAAAAACATCAGGGCCCCCCGGCTTTGGGGCTCAGGGCGTGGTCGCAAAAAAATCGTATATATAAGAAAAGTGGCCCCAGAGAGACAAAAAGGCCTTAAAAGAGCAAAAACAAAAGAACAAGAAACAAAACAAGGGGCCCCCGAGGAAAAAATGTAAAAGAATAAGTGTTTTTAGCAGAAAATTGCGCCAAAACATAGGGGCCCCCGACTTTGGGGCTTAAGGCGTTGCCGGAAAAAGAACGTATATATAAGGAAAGTGGCCCCAGAGAGACAAAAAGGCCTTAAAAATATAAGGAAAAGGGGCCCCCGAGAGACAAAAAGGCCTTAAAAGATGAAAAACAAAAGAACAAGAAACAAAACAAGGGGCCCCCGAGGAAAAAATGTAAAAGAATAGGTGTTTTTGGCAGATAATTGTGCAAAAACATGAGGGGCCCCCGGCTTTGGGGCTCAGGGCGTGGTCGGAAAAAAATCGCTTATATAAGAAAAGGGGCCCCCGAGAGACAAAAAGGCCTTAAAAGAGCAAAAACAAAAGAACAAGAAACAAAACAAGGGGCCCCCGAGGAAAAAATGTAAAAGAATAGGTGTTTTTGGCAGAAAACTGCGCAAAGACATAGGGGCCCCCGACTTTGGGGCTTAGGGCGTGGCCGGAAAAAAACGTATATATAAGAAAAGGGGCCCCCGAGAGACAAAAAGTCCTTAAAAGTATAAGAAAAGGGGCCCCCGAGAGACAAAAAGACTTAAAAGAGCAAACGCAAAAGAACAAGAAACAAAACAAGGGGCCCCCGAGGAAAAAATGTAAAAGAATAGGTGTTTTTGGCAGAAAACTGCGCAAAGACATAGGGGCCCCCGACTTTGGGGCTTAGGGCGTGGCCGGAAAAAAACGTATATACAAGAAAAGGGGCCCCCGAGAGACAAACAGGCCTTAAAAGTATAAGAAAAGGGGCCCCCGAGAGACAAAAAAGACTTAAAAGAGCAAAAACAAAAGAATAAGAAACAAAACAAGGGGCCCCCGAGGAAAAAATGTAAAAAAGCAATGTTTTTGGCAGAAAATTGTGTAAAAACATGAGGGGCCCCCGGCTTTGGGGCTCAGGGCGTGGTCGGAAAAAATCGCTTATATAAGAAAAGGGGCCCCCGAGAGACAAAAAGGCCTTAAAAGAGCAAAAACAAAAGAACAAGAAACAAAACAAGGGGCCCCCGAGGGCGTGGCCGGAAAAACATGAAGAAAAGGGGCCCCCGAGAGACAAAAAGGCCTTAAAAGAATAAGTGTGTAAAAGAATAAGTGTTTTTGGCAGAAAACTGCGCAAAAACATAGGGGCCCCCGACTTTGGGGCTTAGGGCGTGGCCGGGAAAAAACGCATATATAAGAAAAGGGGCCCCCGAGAGACAAAAAGGCCTTAAAACAACAAAAAAAACAAGACAAAAAAAAACGAAAAAAAAATCGGCGCCATTTTCTGCTCAAAACCCTGGGTTTTTTGCATTTTTTCCTCGGGGGCCCCAGGGGCCCCCGTCTTTGGGGCTTAGGGCGTGGCCGACAAGAAAAAATCTTTCAAAATAGCTTCATTTCACCATGGCGACCCTTCGTGTCGGACCCTAAACCCTAAACCTCTAGTCTTGCTCTACGCACAGTAGGCTTGTTGCCATTGCACGCTGGCTGGGTCAATGGTTTGAGCAATCAGGGGGCTCCTGTGTTGAAGCCCGTGGCCACACAGCGCACCCCTGGAACGAATTGGCTGATTCTTTAGTGAAACATGCTTTAGCGGCTGGGGTTGGTGTTGGTTGCATTGATTTTGGCCCTTGCCATCAAGCCGTTGAATCCGGTGATCTTCGTTGGGCGTGGCTGAAGATACAACGCCCTTGTCTTCAGCAATGCTTTCCCCCAGCCAGGGTCAGAACCAGCTGAGAGGTGTCCAGAAACAGTTGCCAAGCAAGGTTCCCAGGAACAGGTTCCCAAGCAGGGTTCCCAGGAGCAGGTTTCCAAGAAAAGGTTGCAAAAAAGGTTTCCAAGAATAGGTTCGCAAGCAAGGGTTTCCAGGCAAGGTTCCTGGGAACCGGTTTCCAAGCAAGGTTCGCAAGACCAGGTTCCCAAGCAAGGTTCGCAAGAACAAGTTCACAAGCAAGGGTTCCAAGAACAGTGCCTCAAGTTCCCAAGCAAGGGTTCCAAGAACAGGTTTCCTTGCAGGGTAGCAAGATTACCAACCTCCGCCGTGCGGAGTTCGCTGCTCCGAGGGATTCTCTTGGAAAAGGAGACCCTTCCCCGGAACCCGGTTCCCAACCTTGCACCGTGCGGATTTGGCTGCTCCGACCTTCTCCGGAACCTTTACTATGGCTGAAGACCCCAAGCTTGCGCTGTTGGGGAAAAAAGCAACGAAAGCAGAAAAAAGACAAAGCAGAGAACCAAAAAACATAGAAACAAAAAACAGAAATAGACAAGCAGAAAAACAGAGAAGCAAAGAAGCAGAGAGGCAAACAAAAAACGTAGAAGCAAAAAAAATAAAAGCAAAAATCCAGAGAAGCAAAAAAGCAAAAAAACTGAAAAGCAAGAAAGCAGATTCAGAAAAGCAAAAAAACAGAAAAGCAGAGAAACAAAAAAGCAAAGAAGCAAAAAACAACAAAGAAGAGGAGAGAGGCATCCAAAAAGAAATCCCCAAACTAAAAAACAATGCCCTAAATAAATGGCCCTCCTCGAAAAAAATGCAGCCCGGCAGATCATCCGCATTTAATGGGCCCGACGCAGGGGTGTCCGTTTTCTGGTCAAGGGACTTCCGTTTGGAATTCAAATGATAGGCTTGGAGACTGCCCCCCCAGCACAGTGCGTTTAAGGATCTGCAGCCCTGTAAACCACAGAGCTCCGTAAACCATCCGCATTTGGTGATCGAACCCCAAAACCACACCGGCTTAAGGATGATATCCCTGTAACAACGTTGCGCTTCAGGGTCTTGCGAAATGATGCATGTTTCCTGCAAGAGGATTCTTCGATGGTTGCACGTTTGAATTGTCAAGGGACAGCAAAGCGTCAAACCACAGGCGGATGGTTTTAGGCCTTCAACACATAACACCATGACGCACATTTTGTGGTACAAAATGTAAAAAATACCTAGCATCTTGCATTTTTTGGGGTGGCATAGTTCCGCGATTTTTGTACGCTTCAAGAGTCTTGGCTTAGTGGGGGGGGTGTGCGACAGGGGATGTTAGTGTCCCTACTATAGTATTTCTGTGTTTTCAGCACTTACCGAAATCCAACTGGTGCCCCCCATGCTGGAAAATGCAGTTGGTAAGAGCCTTGTGTTGTGTAGAATCAGGAACCGTTCTTCTACCTTCCCCCCATCCCTTGCGCACAGCCCAAATCTACCCTGAACAAAACTGCACACCCTAAACAAAGCTTCCAGACGTCTCCATGCTTCGAATCAAGCAAGTGTGAGCAGCAAGTACAGCTGGATCGGGATGGCACAATGCCATAGCACCAATGAGCGTGTTCCAATCCTCAACTTCGGGGACGGAACAATTTCTCAAGAAAGGACAGGAACGATCCGTAGCAACTACAAACATCTCATAGCATTTCCGTCTTCATTCCGGCTTCTTGGGCGCAAATCAGATTTTCAGCTTGACTTGCAACATCTTACACACTGTCCTTTTCGCCGACTTGCAACTGAGAATCGGTTGTTTTACACATCATTTTTCCCAGCTCCACATTCAGGGCAACATCTGTAAACGATGATAAGCCACGGGCAGCCTCAAGCGCTGGCATCGCCGTATCCGTGATGAGACGCTCTTCGTAGGAGATCAAGTGAATGATGTCGCCAAACATCAAAAATGTCGGCGTGTTGGGCAGTGCATTGAAAGCCTCCTGTCAAGGTCCAATCTCGTCAGTTGTGGGGAAAAAACATTCGTCCAAACCGAGTCTCTCTGGCCCTGCTACAAATATTTGATTCCAAATTGAAGTAGTCTGAAACCAGTGGAATCCCCCATTCTCTTTGTTCTCTTTCCCTATATTCCCTGTTGAAGATCATCAGCTCTCCTGTCTCAGGTAGGCACCAGTGACGGCATCAACTTGGCTGTAGCCAGTCATCTTTCGGCACAGGGGCACCCAAAAGCCCGTGCCACCCTGACATCGACAGTTCACCTGCACCAGAAACAAACAAACATCCCCAAACGTGCAATTTTAATGTTTTCGCATCAGCATCAAGAAACATTCTGCAAAATGCATCAAGAGATATAAATAAAGATAGATATATATAGATATATAGATATATATATATATATCAAAAATTATCAACACGCCTAATAATTGATTCCAGTGATGTCTCAAGGTTCAGCCTGCAAAATGCTCAAATATCTTTCCCCTTGGATCCCCCGGTGTGCACCTCCACCAGGCAAGGTCCGCCCGAGGTCCACATCACTTCAGTATGGGTTGCACCGTTCCGGACACCCAAGGCGTTTAAACACTGCCGCGTATAGGCAACAAGCTCCGCCATCGCAGACGAATCAAAAGGGACTGGCCTCTGCGCAATGCAAACACGATGCCCGTTGACTTCCTGGAAGCCGTGCATCCACAGCATGGTTGTCTTGTGCACCCCATCACAGGAAACGTGATCAACGATGTACTCTGTTCCCTCGAGAAATTCTTGTAACTGAACACCGCGGCCTTGTGCACCACGACAGCGATTGGAACTGCTTAAGAAGTCGAAGTGCTCACGTGCCTCGGCACACATGAATCCCAGTATCCATTGCAACTCTTGCAGACTATTGCGCACTTCCACCAACATCCGTATCATTAATCTTATTAGAAGTTTCAAGCCGGAACATGCAATCATTACTTATCATTGTTGTGGTTTCTGCCCCGCCTCGTCCATGGAGTGACACAACTTAAAGCCATCTGCACCAGCTGATTCGATGGGTTTCACAACCAAAGGGTATTGCTCCGTCTCAGCAAATGCAGCGACCTGAGCCCCACTTGCTCTGACAGAAGTCTTCCATCCCAAACAAAAACATTGCAGCAAACACCCTACTGTTTCTTGATTTAGAACAAGTTAAATTCATACTGAAAAAAACATCGTGCAAAGGACCCAACACGACGTTCTCACCAGCCTGTTCCCATGTGGTTCCGCTCACTGTGCGTGCAAATCTCAGACCGGCTGCTTTCAACGCCTGTTGTTGCAGCAATTTGTCCCGACGATTGCCATGGCCATTGCCGCGCAAATCCAGTGCTTCGCTCAGGGCATCTGTGGCTTTGACGCCGCTGTCGCCTCCGCAAATCACAGCTGCCAAGCTACCAATGCTATTAACCACCTCACAGGGCCGTCACAAAGGCAGCACAAGGCCGACACACAGGGGTCCAACGCGTCCCAACGGGGTCCAACGTGTTCCAAGGTGTCCCAACGTGGACACAGATTTTCCGATGGCCTTGAAGACTTAGATTGCTGTTGTCTTGGCTACCTTTGTTGAATTGGTTGCATGTTGTTGCAGCAAATGTGCCTTTCAACTTGCACAAGAGAGTCACATCATAAACTGTAAAGCCGCTCACGCTTTCATCTTTTTGATTAGAGCTGCGTTCTCCAGTTCACCAAATAGATAGTTTTGCCAGTGGCCAAACAGAAAACGGCTTTGGCCTTCAAATTCTATTCCGATGGAACATGGTGGAACCCTAGCACTGAGACCCATCTATACCCATCTCCATTGAGAATCGAGAAATCCAACTCACAAGTCCAAAGGTGTCTGGTGTCCCGAGCGAATTAGAACAAGTTTTGTTTGTATCCGGATTTGATAAAACCCAAATCCTGGAAATTGGGGAGCCGAAGCAAGAATTGTTTTCCAACGCGCTTTCCCCCAACTGGAGTGGACTCGCACCCCGGATCGAGAATGTCGAAAAGTTTCGATCACCAAGAAATCACGACGCATGGCGACAACGTAGTCCCGGACCCAGCAGTATCCCGGCAGTATCCGGCAGTCCAAAACGAAAGCCAAGCCTCGCGAAGTCGAGCTGCTGTGGCTTGCACGGTTGGCTCTTCGTCCAGCTCAGCCAAGAGTTGTCTGGGATCGAAAATCTTCGGATAATCCTGGGGAAAACAAGGAAGAATAGCTCCAAACCCAGCATGTATACATCGTGTTAGTGTAAAATACTGTAAGATTCGTGTCAATTCCAAGTCCCAGACATGCTTTACGGCTTTACCATTCTTGGAAGATGTTTCGCAATCTTTCGCACGTCAACTAGGAGCGTTGTGCCACAAAGTGCTCAGTGACGCTCAGTGCGATCCGAGCATCGTGATACCGGATATTGGATTCCTTGGTCCACAGCGCGATAACGGCACAGCCTTGGCTCAACAGCTCTGCTGCCAAAAATCCTCCAGTGGAGAATGGATCCACCACAACCACCACCTCTTTTGCAGCTCCACTTTCGAATCTTTCAAATTCTGGAGCATTTGCATTGGCCGAAACTTCGACAGGTTCGAATGGAAGTCTCTGGAGTTTTGGGAGAAGGAGGAGAGGCGAGAACACGCGAGAGCCACTGCGCTGAGCCCTGCAGCTATGCAGAAAGTGTATTGGTAGCCGTGCTTGTCCAACAGCTCACCAGCAACCACGGCGGCCCCACTCCAGGACATGTTCAATACCTCGGCACGCCGCAACTTAACATTCCAAGTGGTTTGCACCATGATTTTCTGCTTGGCGTAATGGACTTGGTGACTTCTCTATCTCAAAATGTCCTTAAACTGTAATCTTCTGCCTACCGTACAGCGCCTTCTTAAACCATAGAACGACTGTCATCCTTCTTTATCCCTTCGAAGTGTGAACTGCGTTATTTTTTGGGATATGACGTCTATCAATGAAGCGATCTTCCCATAGAGTCAGATTTCAAGATATTTCAAGGATGTTTTGAGTCCCCACCGAGATTTGCTGAGGCCTGGGGATCACGGATTGTCCTTTGCAACAAATCACTCCGCTGCCTCCCTCTTCGGAAGATACCGTACAGATCATTACAATTATGCAGACTTTTGTTTTGAGATTTCCGAAAGTGTTCTGCTACGATTTTGAAGGCTTGTCATGGTTCAACATGGTCTCCGCACTTTCAGATCTTTCAGACCCAAGATACGGTACAGCTGCTGCTCCATCTACCCCTCTGGGATGCAGGTACGCAATCCACCAAGATTGCCCAAGCAAGAGCCCAAGATGCTTGGGCAAGGCTTCCTCGGAACATGAAGAGAGCCAATGATGATAACAGATGATGCGTTCCTTCCTCGCTACCCGGTTGCATTATCAATAGGCCAAGGAGGCATCCAATGACCCCGACCATACAGACACTGGTGGCTTCGGCTCGACCAACCACCGGAGCACAAACACCCACCAGGTAGGTGAAGCAAGCCTTCACCAAGGGCTCAATGGCTTGAACCACGCTGATCTGGACAACAGACATGCCATAGATGTTGATGAAGAAGAGGGGGAAAAATTTGAAGACCATCCCTGCGGCCAGTGCAGCAATCAACAGTGCCAACAGCACCAAATAGGGTACCCAAGCTCTCCCTGTCTTGATCTCTGTTTGGATCTCTGGTTGTTCGGCTGGCAGGTCCTTTGACTCTTTCTGAGCTTGGCGGAAAGTAAACAGAGACAGCATCACGGGGACGAGCAAAGCAAAACCCGCCAAAAGAGCTGACTTGGTCTGGAAGCCCGTCCAGTCTTCAGGAGCCTGAGGAGCCTGGTGCTTTCGAGGACATTCGAGGACTGGTGTTGGTTGGGGATGTGCTGGTCTGATTTTAATACTTGGGGGATCCCAACACTCAAGCCAATACTCAAGCCGGTCTTCACGCCATGTTCGCCATGTTCTGCTCTTCAAAAACCATACTTCTTTTATCTTTTTTTCTTATCTGTTTAATCTGTTTAATCTGTTTCGGCCTGAAAGTGGAGCAAAGTCAAGGCGTAGATGGCAGAGCCCAAAGCCGTCCCCTAGTTTTGAAAGACCAGGACGTTGGCCAAGGCAGCTGTCCGTTGATCCAGGCTCTGCGACGCCAGGCTGTCCATGAAGATCGCCATGGCAAGACAGCTAGCGAACTCAGCAAAAATCACGAATGCCACCTGGCCGAAAATCCACAAAATACATCAAAATTTGAATCAAAAGACATCAAAATATGTGGAATCAACAGCTGTCTTTGTGCTCCAATCTTGTCCATAGCCCATCTCAAATACCTCAATGTGTGTCAAATATGATCAAATATGTCTGTTTTTAAATCAAAACAGCAAAGGCCGCGGAGATGGGTAGGAGATCAACGGGATTAAAAATGATAGTTCTAATACATATATCATATAAATGTATATATGTAGCTTAATGATATCCTTATGACGTCGGGAGACCTTCATTCATTGGAAAATAGAAAAATAATATTATGAAAAAAAACAAAACAATCAAACCAAAAAACAAAAAACACACCCAACAGGGAACTTGCATGATGGTCAGCATCCACAGCCGCCCACTGAGAATCGCCAGCACGCCAATCACAACTGTGGGACAACCGAGCCCAAAGGCCACCCAAGCAAGCCGGGTTCGACTGGCAGGTCTCCAATCCACTACACAACCAATAGGAAATGCAACCTGGACTTGCTCTGATTCAAAAGATATCGCAGGATCTGCTGTGAATAAGGCTTTTGCGGATGGCACAACATGGCAGTTTCCCAATTTTCAGAAAAGGCTCCCATTTGACCTTTCACTCACAACAAGAATATGACTAATCTCATCTTGAAATCTCTTTGTACCGTTACCTTTATATACCTTTAAAATCTTTATGACAATATCTCTACATCCGATCTTTGACACCGGCCTCACTCCAAGATCTCCAATCCAAGCAGTCCAAGCAACCAGTAATTTGGTGACGCCAGCAATGCTCTCCAGGGTGCCCACAGCCAAGTTCCCATGGTGTGGAGAGATGCCTTCAGCCACTTTGAAGATGTACTCGTCCAGATATTGGCTCTGTGCCAGGGAGTGCACCACTTGAAGAATGAAGGAGAAACCATACCTGCTTCACCGGCTTCTCCCAACAAAAAGGCTGACATGCTCTGGGCCTCACAAGATCTGACAAGTGATGCAACCGACAAATCCATTTTCACAACAACCAGAAGCGAGATCAGTCTTCAAACAGCCGAGATGCATCACCCTCACATTTACCGACAAGTTAATAGAAAGCTGAGCGCCCATATTGGTACACGCAAAGCTGACCACAAACTACTCACTGTAAAACTGCGCTGCGCGAAGAAAGGGTGACTGCAGCCGCTTTGGGAGCCGGAGCCCAAGGATGTATGACCAACAAGAAGCACCTCTCTCTTTCGGCGGAGCAATTGCAAATCCATTACGCCATCATTAAGCCGTCATTAAGCCATCATTAAGCCATTAGCAAAACCCGAAGTGTTGGCAAATGTTCATGGCATTTCACGCTGTCCTCTGGCTTTTCGATTCCATGTTTTTCTCTTTGAAAATTGACCCTGTGCAACAAGTTGTCTCCAGATCTGTCCTGCACGTGCGCTTAATGGACTGCCTGGGCTCGATCCTGGAGTTGAACGGCGTGCAGCGGCATCCCAAAACTGTTTTTGTCAATCAGACATGCATAGATAATCATATATCATATATATAATACTAAAGCACGAGACTCGTTCTTCGTCCCTATCGTCTTTAACAAGGGCATTCTACTGCTACCCAACCAGTTGAAGGTAAGCAAATAGTTCTGCCAGCTGTTCATGTTGCAGCAACCATGCAGATCTTGAACACGAAAATTCTGCAGTGTCCATCTCTGATGCCCCGCAGCCCATGCTGCCCCTGAATTCTCCCAAAAGAATTTGATCGATGTTCAAACGGAAATGCCCAGTGCCGGTGAAAAAGTCTATTGCGACCCTCGTACGCCTCATGAAATTCATGAATATCGGCTTGCGAGGCAATAGATGACAAATTTGTTGATAGAATTGATGAATATTGATGATAGCTTGGATTTCCTGAAAGACTTCCCATTTTCCATTTCCCCAGATGTCAATGTTCTGTTCCCGTTCAGCTCCTGCACGGGGGCATACGCGGGCTTGGTGCGCCACTGGGACTCTGCCGAAGAAGTTCTTCCTAACACCGGATGTTGGACGCAAACAAACGCTTAGTAACTCAACCCTGAAACTGGCGTTCATGACATGGAAGCAGAATTTGAATTCAAAGAGCATAAACTATCACAAACTGTCATAAGCTATCATACATGGGGAACATGCGCCTACAAATTTTAATCTCCAGAACCTGGGAGATGCTGTGCGACATGCGAGCACAGCAAAATCTCAGACGACTGCGCCTGTTGCTGCACCACGATAGCTTCCTGTGGGCTCGATGGGAGTAGAATTTGTCGACCCACAACTCAAGCCCTACGTAGCCTATCTCCTATGGGCCAATCCCTCTTTTCATCCCTACACGAACACAGTTTTCTATTGCCACGTGAGGTGGGGGGATGAAGTTCACTTGTCAAAGTCTTCAACAACTTTCCCCTGTGTAAGAACCCCTAGAATTCAACCAGGGCACCCGTGCTTGAGGGCTGCGATGTAAAGAGGGCGTGGCGAATAAAACCACATGTTTTTTTTTGGCAGCCGGCCACACTGCCCGAACTTAACTGGCGGAGCACATGTGCGCTAAGCGCCGAACAAAATATGTGTCTGTACAAAGGGCTGCTGTGCGCTGCTCGCTGCTCACCTACATGAACTATTTTACGAATTTTGTTGTTGAATAATGGGCCTCAAGCCAGGCCAGCATTTCATAGAGAGATGCTGACTTGCCACATTCCCGCTTGAGCCGTTCAATGGAAATTGTCTCCAAAGCCGGCTTCTTCCGATCCTTCTCAACCCCGTGATTCTGATTCTCCACCTCATGCTGCTCTGTCTTGAGGATAAGGTCAGCTGCGCGCTCTGCCAGCGCGAGGACCTCCGGCAGTGCAAAGTAGGGCGAAGGTTGGGGGATCACAGAGCCATCCACAATGCGAAGACCCTGAACGCCGTGTATACGGAGATTGAAGTCCACCACAGAGTCGTTCTGGTGGCGCCCCATGCGGCAGGAGCCACGACCGTCATAAACGGCAGAGAACGCATCGCGGCGGCCAGCGCCATTGTCGATGAAGGTTCCTCCCAAAGCTGACTTGTTCCACACCGTCATGGCATAGGCAACAGCCTCTTTTGCCAATTTCCAATCCTGATCTGTGAGAGGCCGATGGGTGAGTACGGGGCTCACATCCGGCGAAGCAGTTGGGAAGGTGATCTCACCATCTGCTTCGGTCTCGCCCAAGGTCACCAGGATGGTGTAGCCGTTGGTCTGCAAGGGCCATGGCTCGCCCTGCAGCGAAAACTGTAAGGGTGCAGATTCCAATGCCTGGTACATTGGCAAAAAACTGAAAACCACATCGGATCGGTTCTCCAGAGGCCGCTTCATAGAGCTGAAGGTAGAACGATAGCGGGCAAAAGCTTCCTGAGCGGTGCTTTGGTAGGCATCAGGCAACTCACTAGCAATCGAAGAGATGGGTGGGCCAAACATGCCCGTCAGACTTGGCTTGTCTGTCTTCCACGACAGAGGGCTGTATCGCGCAGACGTGACATGCTTGCCCATGGCTGGGAGGTCATGCAGCACTGGCAAGCCGACTGCATCCAATTCCCTTTTTGGCCCTATGCCCGAGAGGAACAGGAGACGAGGCGTGTAAACATATCCGGCAGACAAGATCACCTCTCGATTTGCATGAAGCACATGGTCGGTCTTGGTGGCCAATTCTCGATATACCTGAAGGACCGTTCGTCATGTTTATCTCCATGCCTATGCGGCTTTTCCCCACCTGCCAGGTGAGGGTCTCTAGATTCTAGATTTTAACAAAGATGCCTTCCTCCTTCTCCTTCTCCTCTTCCTCCTTCTTCCTCCTCTTCGTCTTCCCTCGTGCCCTCGTCCCATCTCACCTCACTTCTCCTCGTCTGCTCTCCTCGCCTTGTCCTCGTCGAGTCTGTGCATCGCCGAACTATGCTGCCAGCTGCGGAGGCTGTGGGCCGGGCCTGGACCCGAACCGTATAAGGCTAGGCCCGAACCGTATACGACGAGATCCGCAGGCCGTATACTGCGAGCGGGAGGCTCTGGGCCGGGCCTGGACCCGAACAGCTGCCAGAGATTGCCAGATAGAATGCCAGATAGAATGTCAGACCATATGTCAGCTAGAATGCCAGAAAGAATGTCTGAATATATGTCAGCTAGAATGCCAGAAAGAATGTCAGAACATATGTCAGGCAAAATGACAGATAGAATGTCAGACCATATGTCAGCTAGAATACCAGAAAGAATGTCAGAATAGATGTCAGATATACTGCCAGAAAGAATGTCAAAATATATGTCAGATATAATGCCAGAAAGAATGCTAGATAGGATGTCACTGTCAGAGATCTCAGCGGGCACTGCCGGCCCACTGAGATCTGGCGCCCGCGGTTGAGGTCCGGCAGTGCCCATGTCAGATAGGATGACAGAATAGATGCCAGATAGAATGCCAAATAGGATGCTAGAATATATGTCAGATTGAATGCCAGATAGAATGTCAGAACATATGCCAGCTAGAATGCCAGATAGGTTTTTCAGAATTTATGTCAGCTAGAGTGCTAGAAAGAATGTCAGAATATATGTCAGATAGGATGCCAGAAAGAATGTCTGAATATACGTTAGAATGCCAGAAGGAATGTCAGCTAGGATGTCAAGCTTTATGTCAAATAGAATGCCGGGCGGAATGTCAGAATATATGTCAGATAGAATGCCAGAAAGAATGTCAGAATATACGTCAGATATAATGCCAGAAAGAATGCTAGATAGGATGTCGGAATTTATGTCAGATAGAATGCAGGGTTGAATGTTAGAATACATGTCAGATAGAATGTCAGAGTAGAATGTCACAGGGTGTGGATCACTCGAAGTAATGTAATGTCTATAGGTTTTAGTTGCACAAAGACAAACATTCCGAGACAACGTGCCAAATTCGTTGGTATCTTGAGCTTTCGTCAAGAGTGTGGAACTGTCCAGTAGCTGCCGGGTGTCAAACTATTTCTTTTGGGATTCCGAAATGTTTCGTTTTTTTTTGGGATTCATTGTTGTAGCATCCCCCTTGTAATATTGCCCTGGACCTGGGGGGCGCCCACCTCTTAAGGATGTTCTTTTTTTTAAATAAAATGACAATTCCCCCTGGTTCAGGCTTATAAAATGATATTCACTCTGATTTCAAAATTCATTTTTTTGGCACCTTAAAAAAAGACAATTGTTTTTTGTTATAAAATGTCGGTTCTTTAGAATTTTTCCACAAAAACATATCATATAATGGTGCCACCCACCTTTTTTGGACGATAGGCGAATGACCCATTTTATAAGGCAAAAGGGGGGGTGAATCTTATAAAATGCAGGAGGCCACCAATTTTTGCCAAGTCTAAATTTTCTTAAGGGCATTACACAACCACTTTATAAGGAATACAGTAAATATGTTCTGTGAAATGTGCTTTTTCTCAGCTTTTTTTCTGGAAATACTGCACATTTTCAAAAGGAACCCCCCACAAAAACAAACGTTATAAATGTGTGTAAGCAAAAGTAATGATTGTCACATATGATCACAAAGGCAGCTTGCAAAAAATTATACAATGACAAACTGATTGCTGTTCATTAAGTGCACATATCTGGCATTTCATTGAAAACACAGATGTGCAAAACCTGTCACCTGGTAAAACGATCAAGATCTTGAACAAATGCAAATTGCAGATTGGCATTGTTGTTTTCAACCTGCGGTTCAGCGGCACCTATCTAAAATGCACATCATGTTTCATCTTGAGACTGGCATGAATCATTTTTTCATCTTGTAAGGGCCACCTCATGCGATACTTGCTTCCAAAAAACATGGAATATGAGGGCGCAAACTGACCAAATATAACCAAATACCTTTCAAAACATGTCCCCTGTTTCATTTCAACTGTTTTGATGTATTTGCTGGTATTAGTTTCCTTGCTATTTGCAGCAGTTTGGAGCTGAAATCCTTCATTGCCATTGATTTGGCATGCTATTTTCATTTTTAGCTGGGACCCCTCAGGCTGCATGTTATTTGCAACATTTAAGCTAAAACTGTAGCACTTTGGAGCTGAAATCCTTCAATTTCATTGATCAATTTGTCCATTTGTTCATCGTTTTTCCCACAGTGCCCATCGATTTCTCGACGGCTTTCAACGGATTTTCCATGGTTTTTCATCTTTTTTTCATTGTTTTTATCGACTTCTCGTGGTTTTCATCCAATTTTCCATGGTTTTCAGTTTTTTTCCATTGTGTTTACCGATTTGCCATGATTTGCCCATATTTTTTCACGGAATTTGACATGGTGTGTATCCGTGTTCTTCCCATGGTTGTCATTGTTTTTTATTGTGTTCACCGATGGTTTTAGATGGTTTAAGGTTGAAGGTGTTCGTTGATTCTTACACGGTTTTTAACGATTGTTATTTGTATTTCTTTGATTTTTACATGGTTTTCATCCGTTTTTGTTTAGTTTTCCTTGATTTTTACGAGGCTTCATTGATTTTTACATGGTTTTCATCACTTTTATATGGTTCTCATTGATTTCTTAAAAAATAAGACTTTCACAATTTCTCGTTTTTTTTTTGTTTGTTCATATCGCGGGCCACTTTTCCTTGCTATTTGCAACAATTTGGAGCTGAAATCCTTCAATTTCCTTGATCGTTTTTTCCTTGGTTTTCACAATGTTCATCGATGTCTCGCTGGTCTTCAACTGGTTTTCATCGTTTTCCAAGTTTTTTCATTTTATAAGGGACACCCCATGCGATATTTGCTTCCAAACAACACCACATATGAGGGTACAAACTAACCAAGTACGTGGCCAAAACATTTCAACTATTTTCAACTGGTTTGATGTAGTTTGGACAAATTGATCTGCGACATTTTAACAAGTTTTGCTGGGGCAGCCAACAAGGCGAGCCGCCCAACAATAATTACCTGGATCTTCAAAGGTTCAAAAAAACTATCTATTTGGGTTGTTGCCAATTTTTTCCAGGGTCGCTCAAGAAGAATTGCAAAAAACAAATGTTTGCTCATTTTTGTGTTTGATATGCTGTTTTCACATGTTTTTACGCCTTTCGGCCCCCGCAAATGAATTTAAAAGAGTGTATATGGTCATATGCATTGCTTACCAATCGCCGCCCGCCGGAAGCACCAAAAATGTCACGGCAGGATAGCATGAATTTCAAAAACATCAAAACGGACAAAAAACACGCACTAAAAATTTATTAAAACGGACGCAACCAAAATCCAAACGCACTCAAAATCAATCAAACGGAATCACATATCCAGAAAAGTGCCTGTTTACATCATTGTGATTATCCTTCAAAACCGTTGCGGTTCTGTTTAGCCAGGGAAAAATTTTGATGATGTCAAAACAGTTTTCGTTCTATTAATGTGCGGTTCCCTCTGCCCAACATTTAAAACAAAACGCTTTTGCATCTGGTATCTCGCACTACTGCTTTTAACTCTCAGATCGCTCACTTTTGATCAAATCGAACAAAACACACTAGGCAAACCCAAATGCTCAAAATAAAACCAAGCAGTGAAACTTCAGTTATGGAAAGAACACAATTAATCCTAATTATGAAAAAACACGGGTCATTTGCTTCAACCCCTCTAGCCCACAAGCAAAACCAATGCTGGACAATTTTGAGCCCTTCCCCGCAAATAGGAAAACATATGTCAAATTTGCATCATTGATATTTTGAAACCTTACAGGGAAGACTTGATTATGGAACCAAATATAGACAGGCGACCTCCTATCTATTCCCAACATTGTTTCCATAATTTTGTCGGTCAATGTCAATCTACAGTAACTACAGATATATTGTTTAAACAGGGTTTGTCCTCAAAAACACCTCATATACCTCGTTCTGTGAAATGAAAGCTGCATATTTTTGCAACACAACGGTTTGCTCAACAAAACCAACATTTTAAATTCTCATCATTTTTTTATTTTGTTTCGGCTTGGGGGCTGCAAACTTAAATACCCGCAAACCATAGGGAATACAGTGAAAACTTTGAAACCAATGAAAACGCGTGCTTTAAGCAATCCAGGCCCGCCATGTTCCCAGTGTCGGGGCGAAGCTGTCGCCAAAAGGAGCATGCCAGGCAACACCGCACAACAACCAGAAGAAGAACACAAAGAAGCAGGTCAAAAATCATAGCCGCATGTACAAGAATCAGCAACTGCTGGATGGAAATCATCATTGAAATTGAGCGAATTTTCAGATAGAGGAAGCAATCCGAAAGGAAACAGAGCAGAAACCTTTCTTCAACGCAGCATCAAAGACAAAGACCTGCTGCATTTCCGTCGGGGACGCATTGGCCGGTGGCAGCCCTTATGAAATGCAAGTCCCAAGATACGGAGGAATCTTGCCGGCTGCAAGCTGTCATTTTATGAAGGTACTCTGTGCGCTTTTAGTCTCAGTTGCTGGATGGTGATGGACCGTGGTCATCTACACGGTGTCTTGTGACATTTCTGTTGAAGGGTCTATGGTGCGGAGCACGCTTGTGAATCGCCTCGCGCGATTGTGGGCTGGCCATGGGTCGCCACAAGCTGCTTCGTGTCTGTTTGCCGTGCACATTGTGTTTTTCTTTCGCTTTTGAATTTAGGAAAGAGCCGGGAAACTCAAGCAGAGGCGTGAAGAAGGAGCCAAAACACTGGATGAACGGCTGGACATGAGGAAAGAAGCCTCCCTGAGATA